ATATATATATATATATATATATATATATATATATATATATATATATATATATATATATATATATATATATATATATATATATACACATACAATATTACAACCTACAAAATTTCAACGGAATTTTTTACTTTTTTTTTTTTTTGCTTCTTTTGATTTTTTTCTCTTTTTTTACATTTGTATTTAATATTTTTCTATAACATACATTTGGCTGTACTAGCTTTAGGACCGTTATGGTAATTTTGTTAGATATACTCCAGATTTTGCTTCAGTACCGGCTAATCTAATGTACATACACAAATATAATATTGTATAGCTTCCAATTAAAAATATGAATATAAAAGATAGATTTGTGTGGGGTGTACTTATATATGCTGAACTCTGTATTGCTGAACTTACATGCAAAAACCAAACACACTCTGTCAAGGCCTACCAAACCACCAAGTGCAATTGCAAAAATGCACACACGCATTGCAACCAGGCACGCATCAACACATAACCCAAAAGCACTTCACAGTCACATACACTTTAAATTGCCAAAGGCAGAAAAGAGTCTGAGGTGCAAAATACAAGAATAGCAAAACTAAAAAAGGGAAGATGAGAAGTTGAACAAGATTGGAACAAGTGCGTGAAAAGTCTGTCTCAACTTACCGAACCATCTTCCCTTTTCAAATGTTCCTCTTCCAGTCGAAAAGAGAAAGAATTGAATGCATGTTAGTATGGTAATATATATATGTGAAAGAGGCACACACACACACACTCATCCAGTACAGTGGTGTCATGTGTTTGCACTCATCCTCTAGTTTTTCCTCTTGCCCCCCTCTGTCTATACCCAGTGCAGTGCAACCAACCACAGCCCATAATCATTAGTCTAGCGGCTTCATACCTGCCCTCGGCTTCTCCTTCTGTCTCGACACGTAAACAGGGTATTCTGTGCTTAGAAGAGCCGGTCGTCCTGACAGCATATATATGCCTGTCGTTCGTCCCTCCCTCTCTCTCTCACTCACTGTTACAAACTTCTTCCTTCCTTTTTGCGGCTTGTTCATAAAACAGTGAAAGCAACAAGAGAGGCAGAGAAAGATACAGAGATGTCAGATTTGTTTCTGTTTTAATTTTAAGCTGCTTTTTGTGCTTGTAAATCATGAAACAAACATGTTAGCACCGACAGGCAAACATTCAGCTCAATGTTTGAAACGTACAACAGTTAGATAGAGGAACTTACAGGCTAAACAAAACAATGACAACAGCAAAATGCAAATTACCCTCTCTTGCGGTGTCTTTCTGCTGGTTTTACTCTTGCTTGCTTTGTTCCTTCATTTGAGTGCTTGTCTGGCAGGTTGATTTTTTACAGGTTGGGTGTCTAACCTGGAGTCTGACAGTTAAAGTCCATTTTGTTTAAGTGCACATTGCACTTCCTTGTTTCCAGACCTTCACCTCTCATACACTTGTACACATTCACGCGCACATACAAATAAACACATGAGGAAGCGCAGAAACCTGATGCGTGTCATGTTTGTTAACTGCAGCACTAAAGTTGTAATTATTATTGTTGTTATTATGTCATAATGGCCTATAGGCAATGAGCTATTTAATTTAAAATACTTCATATCAAAACATTTTTAGAAACTACACACCAATATTAAAAAATGTGGGGTCTTACAAGTTTTATTGTTTAGAACAGTGGTTCCCAAAGTGGGGGTCGTGACTCATGGAGTCATCTTTACACAAATTAAATACATAAAAAATAAATGCGGGCAAAAACTGAATATATTTGAATGATCTTTGATTAGCGGTCTCCTAAATTTAAATAAGAATAGACTTGTGCTGAAAGCCTCGTGTCCATCAGTGTCTTCAGCTTAGGTTAATGTTAAATTAAGCAACTAATAAATGGCTATAAAAATAATATGGTTGTTAGACTGTTGCACTTTTTCGTGTTTGCAATATGCTGACAATGTTTGCATATTTATAACCACCTCAGAAGAAATTGGGGGTCACGAGTTACTGGAATTGTTATTTTAAGGGTTGTGAGCTGAAAAGTTTGCAGACTCTTGGTTAAGAAAACCTAACAGAAGTATTTTAGATTAAGCTACTTAACTTATCATTTAGTAAACGATTAATAATAAAAATTTGTATTTATTATAAATATATATATATATATATATATATATATATATATATATATATATATATACATACACACACACATACATATATATATATATATATATATATATATATATATATATATATATATATATATATATATATATATATATATAGTTTTCATGCTGATTTGTAAACTTGTTAAAAGTAATGCAATAGGTAATCTGTGTTAATTGAATAACATTTCTAATAACTGATTTATTTTATCTTTGCCATGATGAAAGTAAATAATATTTGAGTAGATATTTTTCAAGACACTTCTATAGAGATTAAAGTGATATTTGAACACTTAACTAGATTATTTAGTCACCTCGAACGTTTATACAAATAAAATCAGCTTATTGATATTTAAATCTATATATAATGACATATTTAGAACAACAGACTATATTTAGACTATTCTACATATTCATATAGATTGTTTTACATATTTCAATATTACAGTCCAGAATAAACATGTTGTTTAATGACATCCAAATGACATGTAAGTCTGATGTTTGCTATTCATAAAAATAGACCCAGTCAATGCAACAGATCACATGAGAAATATAATTTGCATGTCAGCAGTTTTGTTTGTATTTAATTCCTTAAGAAGATCATAAGATTTCTGACTACACTTCCTCAAAAAGGGGATCTTTTTGCAGCTATTCGCACAATTTTCTGTTTAATTATGAGGTTTAAATGCTGTATTTTTTACACACCTCCTAGTTTTTCATGATTTATTTTGTTTGTGATTTTTTTATTTTGTGTGTGTGTGATAAAAACGCCTGATTTTGAGGTGGTAGTTCCCAAAAATTCATGGACAATTTTGTGATTAAAATATTCATTCAGTCATTTACTTTTCGGCTGAGTCCCTTTATTCATCAGAAGTCGCCACAACAGAATGAACCGACAATTATTCCAGAATAGGTTTTACGTATAGCGCATGCCCTCCCAGCTGCAACCCATCACTGGAAATCACCCATACACACTCATTCACACACATACACTATGGACAGTTTAGCTTACGCAATTCCCCTATAGCGCATGTGTTCGGACTGTGGGGGAAACCAGAGCACCAGGAGGAAACCCACGCCAACACGGGTGCTCCGGTTTCCCCCACAGTCCGAACACATGCGCTATAGGGGAATTGGGTAAGCTAAATTGTCCATAGTGTATGTGTTTGTATGAGAATGTACGGGTGTTTCCCAGTGTTGAGTTGCAGCTGGAATGGCATCCGCTGTGTAAAACATATGCTGGAATAGTTGGCGGTTCATTCCGCTGTGGTGACCCCTGGTTAATACTAAACCGAAAAGAAAATGAATGAATGAAGTTTTAAGTTTTAAAAACCACAAGGTCAGTATTATAAGCAATTTAATTATTTTTATTTTGCAAAATGACTCATATGATGGGGTTTTTTGGATAAAAAGAAACTGAATGCATTTTTTTTCCATCTACTTGAAGTCCTCGTATCTGATATTGGCCCTTTACAAGCATCTGCCTGAAGGTCGAAGGCATTATATCTGATCGCCGGTGTATCTCCGACCTGTCTGTGGCTCTTTAGATGTGTAGATATGTTCAATAAATGATATGGTTTGCCTATATAATTATCCTGGTGCAGATTGTTAGTCCATCAGTAATGAAACCCTTCAGTGATGAACAAATGACACCGTTTCTCAGTCACGCTTCCTCTTTTTTTCCAACTCCTCCTGTGATCAGTCTCTAAGTGTGTTTCCAGCTATAATCACATTATTCCCTCATTTACAGTACTTTGACTGGTTCCTCGTTGAGTTATTTTAACTTTTGTTAAATATTGTTGTCATTTTACAGTAGTTTATTTGTGCATCACTGTAACTGAAATCCCTTCAGGAATGTACAGAAATGTGCTCAAAGCCTTCACACATGAAGAACACAACCTATTGTTTTCTAGTAAATACTTTTTAACTGTACTGTTGTAACATGTATTAGTATTCAGTGTATATAATGAATGATCTGGCACACAGTCAACTTTATCAGATGAATTGAGTGTAGTTCACTCAAAATTGAAAGTTTATTCTACTCATCTGAAGAGTTGTGAACTCAGTGTTGAATGTATGAGTTGATTAAAAACCTTATTGCTTCAGCTTAAATAGAGTAAGTTCACAGTACTTATAGATTAGTTTTTAAACTTGCATGGTTTGATGCAATCGGTTTACTCTATTTTTTGGGGTTTGACAGTGCAGTTTTAAACTGATAAATTATAATATAATTTAGAAATTTTTATTTTAGTTTTTGTATATGTGAATATTAATGTTTGTGTGTTTGTGTATTAATATATGCATGACTATTTTTTAGGCCTAATACAAATCGTATATGAATTTATATGTGAATATATTTATTTAACATGTTTTGTGTGTGTGTGTGTGTGTGTGTGTGTGTGTGTGTGTGTGTGTGTGTGTGTGTGTGTGTGTGTGTGTGTGTGTGTGTATATATATATATATATATATATATATATATATATATATATATGTGTGTGTGTGTGTGTGTGTGTGTGTGTGTATGTATGTATATATACACACACATAACATAATGCAACAATATATATATTTACACATACACAACTCGACTACTACCTTGACTAATAATCAGCAGTATTAATAGCATGTCGTTTTATGAGCTAATAGTCTGAGTTAATTGTTTGTTAACAGCATGAATTTCTAAAATTAAAGTGTTACCGTATTTATTTTTATTTAGTAGGGTCAAAACAGATTATAAAACTGCCTCGCTGCGCATTAAACAATGTATAGGCTGTATACACATTCATCAGTATGAAACTGCACATCCAGCCTATACACAGCGAGCACATGCTGGATTGTTGAGGGCTTTGACTGCAGGACCACACAGCGGGTTTTGACAGCGTTGAAATGGGTTATCTACGGTCCGAGAGGAACCCCATTCCCAAAATACTGCCCGTGGAAACCCAAGCTCCTGCAGACACAGATGGACATGTGGATCCCTGAACATCACCTGGGCTGCACACACTGATCTGCGGGAATGTCGGCTCTATACGGTTCACACTGAAAAAAATATTCATTGGATTTACAAACTTTTAAAAGTAACCTAAGTGGTTGCAAACAATTTATATGGGCAGAATTATTATTATTATTATTATTATTATTAAAATATGCTGTTTCTTGGATTACACTAAAAATGCTGGGTTATTTTAACCCAATTCGGGTGAAATATGGACGAACCCAAATGCGACATTTCGTCTTATATATTAAAAATTAACCCAGCAGTTGGTTTTGTCCAAAATTCACTCGAAATTTGGTTGAAATAACCCAACATTTTCAAGTATGTAGTGAAAAGAAATATTTCAACTAACGAACTAATGACAAAGAAATTACACTGGTTTGATTAAACTAAATATGCAAGTGTGCGTGTGTGTTCAAATGAACTGCGTTTTGCATGCAAATCTTACGATCAGCTGCTTGCTTACACGATTTATGGACAAAATGTCACTTTTGCCAATGTAAATGAAACATGTAGAAATGAAACAGAAAATATATGTCGCTGTTTCGGTTGTTCTTGTGCGTGTTTGTCGAATCTCTCTCTCTCCCTCCCTCTCAGTGTGTGTGTGTGTGTGTGTGTGTGTGTGTGTGTGTGTGTGTGTGTGTGTGTGTGTGTGAAAGGGTGTGAAATGTTCTTTACAAGTTGAACGGTAAAAATGAAGAAGCTGTGAGTCATTGTGCAGGCTATAGGCATATATATTTCCATGAACAAGAAGAACAGCAATTTTAATGCTAAAAGTCTTAAAGCAATTATTGGTATTAAAATAACCTAAATCTGCGTGCACTTTCCCTCCCGGAAAGTTAAACATGCAAACGTAGCAGCTACCTTATGGACACTGCTGTTTGTTTTTTCTAATTCACCATATGCATTTTAATTGTTCGGTAGTTTTTTAAACACCTTTTATTATAACACGCGGCAAATGTGTTTACTTATCCCTAAAGTTATTACAAGTTGTCTGAGTGGATATACAGCTTTTTTCATATTATAAAGTCTGTCTAACCTTTGATAGCTTCAAAATGTTATGATTCAACATAATGTCTATAAAAACCTAATTTATTTCAACATTTTACATATATCAGTCACATAAAGCATGTAAAACATGAAAACCAATGACTGCTGAGAATCCAAATGTAAGTATTAGGCTATATATATATATATATATATATATATATATATATATATATATATATATATATATATATATATATATATATATATATATATATATATATAT